CAACAATTTTGCCTAATCAACAACAACAAAGCCTGCGCATTGCTTTTTGAAAGTCTCTTTCTTCATATATTTAAATGTATTTATGCGTAAAATATATGTAAAGATAAACATTTCTGTGAATACGAAATGGCACCCATATTTTTTTTACCTCGAAATAATTAGCAAAATTTTATGCTTTTTAGCGAAAATTGGTCTGAAACAAGGAAAGCAAATGGAAGAAAAAGAAAGCAAAAAATTCCATGAAACTATTTTTAGAGTAAATAAAGATAAAAATGCGAAATGGAAAGTGCGTGTATAAATTGCAAACAATCATCGCAGCTGCTTATACACCGGAATTTCAAAAGTATTAAGCTGTGGATGTAAAGTAGACTTTATTTTTTATTGAAAAAAAAAGAATGAACATATTTACTGAATAAATATATAAATAAATCTGAAATATCAATACACTTCTTTATTGAGTTATTTGTAGCAGAAATTCGCTTTAGAGTCACAGATGTCACATACAAGGTGTGTTCAAAAAATATCGCGAATTTTGTGTTTTTTTCAAAAATTATTTATTTATTCATGAATCTCTATTTTGTCCCCTTCAAAGTGATCCCCATGAGATATTATGCAATTGAGCCAACGGTTTTGTTTTTTCAATCTTCGAAGCACTTCAAAAAATCATTTTTTTTATCTTGTTCAGCTCCTCCTTCGATGCCGTCTTTATCTCGTCAATCGTAGCGTAACGTCGTCCTTTCAGTTTAGGGAGTAAGAGTCACAGGGCGCCAGATCTGGGGAATACAGTGGCTGCGGCATCATTAGTGTGTTGTTTTTGGTCAAAAAGTCGCGCAAAAGCAAAGATGTGTGAGCAGGGGCGATATCGTGGTGCAAAAGCCAATTTTTGTTTTTCCACAAATCCGAGCGTTTCTGGCGGATTGCTTTGCGCAAATTGCGTATAACTTGCAGGTAATATTCCTTATTGATCGTTCTACCCTGTGGCAATACCATTTTCTCCACTTCATTAATTTTTTCGTCTGTTGTTGAAGTGCTCGGGCGTTCGGCAGGCTCTTAGTCGTTCACATCTTCTCGGCCTTCTGAGAACATTTTGTACCACCGATAAACGTTGTTTCGGTCCAAGGTAGCTTCTCCGTAAGCCACAGTTAACATTCGGAATGAAACCGCGCACTTAATTTCGTCTTTCTCAGAAAATTTGAGAAAAACTTAAGTCTCCTTAAAAGAAGAAGCAATAATCTACGACTGCTATATGCGACTACTCTGCTTTGCGTAGTTCTACGTTTCGGAATTCGAAACTTTTACAATCTAAGACAGGCGACGTCAAAGTCATGGATCTAATGAGGTTCATTAGAGATTTGAAGCCTAATGGTGAGGGCTTTGTGGCATTAAAATTGACCTAAGTATAATCGATCGGGAGCCGAAAATCGCTTCAGCGGTTACAAAGTGCCATGATCGGATAGTGGACTAAGCAAAATGAGTTCTCAATTCGATTATCACTAAAAAGATTACGCTTTCTGTGCGATGGTACGATTCAAGGGTATATTTACTGTCGTAAACTAACCAAATTCATATAAAGAAATCAAGTAGAAACGCGATGAGTGCTCAATAGTAAAAAAGTAATGTTTCATCATATAACGCCAAATTTCCACTGCCTTGATAGTCCGCTAAAAAATTAAGGGACCGCAATATGGAGCTGATGCCCCAAATCTTCTAACTCAGGTACGAATACATGGCATTCCCATTGACTGTACCGAATTTATAGACGGCTGAATTTTTAAAGAAATATGCACCACTGATTTTCCTTTTTGTCCATAGAGCACACCAAACATAGACTTGATGGCTGATGGGCTATCATCCCTCCAAATGCGCCAAATTTTGTTTATTAACGTACCCATTCAACGAAAAATAAGCTTCATCGTTGAATAAAATTTTCTTGTGAAAATCGGGATCCATTCTTGCATCTTAGATAACTGAAAATAGTTATCAATAAAATGTGATTTCATCAAACAAGTGTTTTTTAAGTGAAAATATTTGTTATGTTTATGTCGAACTAAATCTTCTACAAGGTGAAAACATCAAGCACATGACAATAGCAAGTGGGAAAAAAGCAAAGGAAAAAACAACGGGTTTTCTCTAACTCGGATCCGGATTGGCCACATCACATGGCAGATAAACTGTTAATAAAGAAGCAGGAAAAATTAGCAATGAGTGCGACTAAAGAATAGAAATATTTGCACGCATTTGTATGCGTTTTTTCTATGTGTAGGTATGTGCATGTACACGTATTCTTTGTCACATCGCTACTATTTGCTGCATAAAAAGCGCTGGCGCTGACTTAGTAAGCTCACTTAGTAATAGTCTAATAATAAATCAGTTAAAGAAAATATTGATAGTGGTTCACCTAGTTTGCAATGAGTGGCGCCTGCTTCTCTCTATTTATTTATATGCGTATGCGTGTGTACACTTTCGTAAACGATGCGTTAAACATTTGGGGGACAGATTTAATGGCATACAATGGGGTATATATGAAATGAGTTTGTTAATCGTGAAAATACTAATAAAAAATGCTGATGCTTTGAGTAAATATTTATTTAAAAGCGCATAAAAATTGTATGTATGTACGATAAAAAAGATTTCAATTCATTATACATACATACATACATTCAATTTATTATTATATTGTTTTTAATTATATATATATTAATAATATTATAAATTTACTACGCCAAATTACGCAGTCAAGCATAAAAATTTTAAATTTATTAACTCTCTAAAACTCAAAAAGCATTAAAATTTACTGTTAACAGAGATAAATAAATAAAAATGAAGCAAACTAAAAAAAAAAACAAGCCACTAATTAACCAAAACTCAAGGCAGCGGCAGACAAAATGAAAACAAAGCTACAACGAGTTCCATTAAGAATTCAATACGAAGAAACAAATTAGCAATAAATCGCCTACTCGACGCATGAAAATAAAAGCAGCAGTGGATTAAAAAAGGAAATTAAGAAAATTGCCACAACAAAACACCCAAGCAACAATAGCGAGCTACTACAGCAAGAAAACGAAAGACTTAAGCGAGAAACTTGCGCTGTGAAATATTAGACTTTTTTCTTCTTGAGAAAATTGCTGCTGTTGGTTTTTTTTTTTGCTTGTTTATGTGCATTATGCTGAATGTTGCAAGTAGTTAACTTGTTAATGATTGCACATTTAGGTGAATAGTGATTTCAAAGTCTGTTTGCCTAAAAGTTGATGTTGTTACGCTTAATACTACGCTTGTTGTTGCTGCTGTGATGTTAAATTCAATACCGTTTTCACAATGAAAATTGAGCGAAATTTAAACTGTGCGCCAATTTGCCCCACATCGTTTCCAGCCAGTTGTAGCAAAATTCAAATCAATAAGTGAAATTAAATTGTGTGTATATGAAATTTTACTGGAAAACGAAGTAGAGTGAAACTTGCGTTGGTAAATGTGGGCGAAGATAAAAGCAAAGGCAAAATTTTGCATAAATTTGAAATGTGCAATTATTTAAATCATAAAATAAAAATAAAAACAGAAAAAAACAAATATTATACAAACGAAAAAAACCAAAGAAAATTAAAAAAATAATAAAGTAAATAAAATAAAAATTAAAAAAAAAATATAAAAGAATAAAAAATTAGTAAAATAGTATAATAAAAATATAAAATAAATATAAATAAAATGAAATAAAATTTAATTCAATTTAATTTAACAAAAAATTATATAAAACAATAAAAAATAAAATAGATCGAAATACTGTGAAATTAAATAAAAGAAAACAAAGTATAGTAAAATGAAACTAAGTAAGTAAAATTAAAGGAAATAAGATAAAGAAAATAAAACAAAGTAAATAAAATAAAGTACAATACATAAATTAAATAACATAGAATGAAAATGAAAATAAAATAAAATGAAATAAATTAAAGTAAAATATAATTAAATACAATGTAACAAAATAAAATCAAAAAAATAAATGTATATTTACAATAAAATTAAATTAAAAAAATTGGATAAAACAAAACATAAAATAATAAAACAAAATGAAATGAGAAAAAATAACTCAAAATAAAGTAAAACAAACATTAAATAAAAGGATTAAATTAATAAAAATGGAAGTCAATTATGGATCTGAAATAAAAAATAAAATTAAATTAAATAATGTAAAATTAAATAATTCAATCAATTTACCAAAAAAAAAATTAATAATAAAAAATTAAAAAAAAATATGTATTAAAGCCAATGCAAAAAAAAAAATTAGTTCATAAATATTAAGTAAATATCTAGGTTAAAAAATTAATATATTAGATTACAAATATATAAAAACAAAATAAAATAAATTAAAATAAAGTAAAATAAAAAAATAAAACGAAATTAGAATAACACAAACAAAATTGATTTAAAAAAAATATAAGTTAAAATAAAAAGGAAATGACCTTCAAATTAAGCTCATGGGAATTTCAGTAAAAGTGAAATCTTCAGTGTTTTACGTGAAATGCCAATCTGTGTGAACGATTGAGAACATCATTACAATGAATAACACCACCGAGAATGCAAATATGTATATATACGAGTATGTACATAAACCTTCCCAGTCACAGGCACGTACAATTCTAGTTAAACGTCTGGAAGAGTAATTTTTCACAAAAAAGCTGAATAATCATGGCAAGCACATATCTTTTAATTATCATAATAAGTACAACATATACAAATGTATGTATGTACATAGATTCTCACGTAATGTAAAATGGCTATGGAATACGCGCAATGCAGCTGAGAAATTGCCATAATTAAAAAGAAACACTTTGGATATAAAACCTAGAGATAACATTATCTGCAAGTAAATTAAGATATATGATACATATACACTCACGCATCATCTACGTTGACTTCCAACACATACCTACAAATACACATTCAAATACCGACTTACACATTCATACTTATTTATGTACCTACTTGCATTGCTTTTGCGGCATCCTTACCTTCAGTCGCTTCGAACAACTTTCACTTACGACAAACAAGCAAATAAAACGTAAAAACTTTTGCCATGTTCAAAAAGCCCCACCGAAACTCTATCAACAGCAGCAGCAGCAGAGACGGCAACAAAAGTGAACGAAAAAATGCTGTGAATGTAAGAGAATGAAATAAAAACAAAAAAATATATATGTAAAAAATGAGAAAGGTAAACAGTAAATAAAAAGCAGCAGCAAAACTGGAGAATAGCGAAAAAAACATAAGAAATAATAAAAAATAACTGCACAAATATAGCGGTACTTACGTATATAAAATCAAAAGGCATGGTGGCAAGCAATATTGACCGATGTTATCACCAGCATTAGCGATCGAGCTTAAAGAGAGGGAGAAAGAGGGAGAGAGTGGAAACGGTGCACTCATTTATAAAAGCTTAAAGTCAAATTTGAGTTTAAAGAGAGTCAGAAAGTTTGAGAGAGTGAGCATCAGAAATTAATTTAAAGAGCGCCAGCTTTGTAATGCGGAGTTAACTTGACTCAGCGGTCTTGCGAGGTTCATAGACAAGTTGTTGCAGCACTCGTGCTCAATTATTTACATATTAGCTCACTTGAAATGCCACAGACAGACATTGAGGCAGCTGTTAATGGAGTTAGTAAGCATTTTTTAGCACTAAATGAATTTTGAGTAGCGAAAAAGTTCTTGGCTTTACACATATTTTTATTTTATAATTTTTTTTTTACATAATTTTTAGTTAAATTTGATTAAAACAATCTAAAATGTGCTCATTTCCTGATCAGGAATGATGCTTTGATAGGTGGAAAATGGTAGCCGAGCTGCTTATGACCTTCGTTCCTGATCAGTTTTCAATCAGCAGCAGGTTATACTGTTTAGCTTTGGTGCTTGCTTCAAATATTTAGCATTAAATTATAGCATAGAGAAGAGTAATTTTTAGAGACAACTAAATCGCCTGATATGATTAACAAGAAAGAGAATAAAATAATACTCATCGATGTGGTTTTTAAGGATCTTCCAAATGCCGGCAGAGATCTCCATCAGCGAATTTATATAGCCAAATTATCACAAAAATTGTTCATAATGTCAGCATTATTTTAAGTATGCCAACTTAACGGTGTTCTTTCAAGTTAGTGAAAATGTAGTATAATTATGTAGTAATGTAGTATATTTGAAGCATTTAATTCTTTTGCTACATTTATAAAGAATTAAAAAATGTGTTAATCAAAATTTTTGAGAAAATTTTAAGCTAAAAAAATGGTTTTGAGTAAACTAATAAAAGAGAGAAAAAAATGCAGTACCACTTAGTCAAGTTGACTTCAATTGCCGCATTGCTTTGATTGTTAAAAAGGTATTGAACAGATACTACCTACATATTTACATAGTCATATATTTCAACACAAAATATTTTTAATGAAAAAGTTGTTATTTTTTGTTATTTTTGCATACATTCAGCTCATGAAAAACGTGTACCAAATTGAAGCAAGCAAAAAACTCAATTGTCTACAATGTTAGGCTTAATTACACGCATTACCAGCATTTTGCGATCACGTCAAGTGTTAGGAGGCGCAGACACAAAAATGTAATGTGGTCAATCAGTCGTCAGTCTGCCATTCAGTCAGTCAGGCAGTCACATTACTTGGCTAGTCGGGTTGATTGTTGTACTGTTTACCATCTCAGTAGGTTAATAGCACACTTGCCTAACAACGGCAACAGCTGGTGTCTCAGTGGCCTCCTCATGTACATACAAATGCTTTGCGATGTATGTACATTTGGTTAGCTTTGGAAGATGTCGCTACTTAAGAACTGGTTATGGGTATTCACATGGTTTGCTAAAAGTAATGTTTATATGTACACGTATGATCGCACTCGATCAGCTTTTGTTTGAGTAAAACCCGGAATTAAAAGGAAGAACATAAGCAAAAGCTTACCCCAGGTTTTATTCCGCTTACAAAAATAATAATAACCTAAGATAAAAAATATATATATAATATTGTAATAAAATTAAATAGATAATAAAATGAAAAAATAAGACATAAAGTTAATAAAATAAATTAAAATAAAACTAAGTTAAACTTAATTAAAAAAAAATTACATTAAATTGAAATAAATAAAGAAAAAAATAATACATAAAGTTAATAAAATAAATTAAAATAAAACTAAGTTAAACTTAATTAAAAAAAAAAAAAATTACATTAAATTGAAATAAATAAAACTCAACAAAATAAAATCAACTAACTTAATATAAAACAAGTAGATTGAAATAAAATTAAGTGTAAAAGAAATGGGGAATAGTAAAGAGTACTTAAATTAAATTGAATAATATATTATTAAATGACATTTAAGAAACTTAAAATAAATCAAATTTATTTTTAATTATAAAAGCTCGGAAACTAAATTTAAATTTTATAAGTGACACAAAATAAAAGAAACTAGAATAATAAAAACAAACGAAACTATAACAGGGAAAGTAAATTAATTAAAAAATAAAATTAAGTAAAATAATATAAATTGAAATGAAAACATGAAACAAAATGAAAAAAATTATATTAAATAAAACAAAAATAAATTAAAATCAAATAGATTAAATAAATATAAGAAAAAATAAAACAATATAAGTTAAAATATAACAATATAGGAAAAAAAATTTAAAATTAACTAAAAATAATAAAAAAATAAAAAAGAAATAAAGTGACATAAAATTAATTAAAACGAATTAAAATAAAATAAAATAAAAATGTATGACATGCGCTTTGTAATCAGTATATATATCTGGCCAAGCTCGCCCCCCAAAGTAAATAATATAAAAAAAATAAAAAATTCGAAAAAATATAAAACCAAAAAATCAAATAAAATTAGTAAAATAAAATAATATAGCGTACCATATAAGTACTACCAGTTATTCTGATTTTCATCATCTTTGATAAAATTTCCCCAAGATTTAGTAAAAACTTAAAATTGGTTCTATCTCGAAGCTTTTACTCCTCAGAGCAGCAGAGTATACTATTTCTGAGACAGCTCGTTTTTTATGGGGCACACCATAGAAAATAAGATAATATGTAAATGGAGGACCTTCAAAATAAGCATACAAAAATTTCAGTAAAAGTGAGTTTTTCAAAGAAAAAAATAAAACGAAAGTTTTTATTTGAATATATAATTAAGTGCCCTGTTTTTGGGTGACATTTGAATTTTTTTTTATTGTGATAACTTCTTTCATACAATTTACTCTATTTTTGAATGTTGTTTAAGCTCAAACTAGTTAATTTTTTTTTTGCGCTACATAAAAATTTTAAAACTATAATACACCTGGTTTTTATGGTGCCACTAAACTTTTATGCTTCATAACTGAAATACAAATATATGTTTGTATGTAATTGTAAATAAAACACAAACACAAACCAAATACGCTCATACAACATGTTGAACTTGATTAAATAGCTGCATGCCGGTCGGTCATTGCTGTCAAAAAGCCCTTTGCATATACGTACATACATATGTAATTATGTATGTATGGGACATGTTGACCACCGCGACTATTTGGTTATTAAATTTTGCTTTCAAATGAAAAACTAAAAGGTGAATGAATAAACAACGGGCTTTCTTTACTAAGCATTAGAAATAAGTTAGTAAAAAATTCATAAAAACACAGACTAAAACATGAAGACTATGAAAATGAAATAAATTAAAAATGTGTATGTATAATATGTATAGATGTTTGCAGCTGAATTCGCTCAAAGCTTGCTTTTACATTTGCTTTTTCGACTTTCTTTATTTATTTTGTTTGTTGACAATGGTGTAAATGTGTTGTAGCGGCATAACAGCAACAACACTATGCACATATAACAGGTTGCGACAACATTACACATACGCCATGTACGACATGTAGGCTAACCAATGGCTGGCAGCTCGATGAATGATTAACTGACTGGCTGTTGGACTTTCTGAAGCGGCTGGCTGGCTATTTGGCTGGTTGACTGGCGTACCTCACCAATTTTCGCAAGTGGAAAGTGACATTCCTCTCACTCAGTGCACACAGCAACAAGCAAGCATACTCGCACAATCATACGTAGCTGTGTCTGTGTGTACGTGCATGTTATAATTTGAAAAAATATTTATTTAAATATTTACACTGCATAAGCATAGACACACACATACGCTAGCACATAGCTACTAAAATTTAATGTATTGTTAGGTATGTTTGTATATACTTGCTAGTATGTACATACATATGTATCATTCAGTGTTTGTACTGCAATATGTGGCTTTAGGCCAATCGAGTTTGCTGCATATTCTTCTTCTTCTTCTTCATCATGTTGAATTTCATTGCTTTTCATAATTTCTATTCACATGCATTTTCCGATTTTACATCGCTTCTTCTTTTCACTACATGCGTACTCAAACATACATGTAGCTGAGGTGTTACATATATACATCATATATTGCTCATCAGCATTTGCTGCGCATTTATTGAATTTCCTTTATCTCTTCATTGCATTTTAGTCGGCTACGCAGCATCTTCACCAGATCAATATTCGATCGAGCGATCGGTCGGTCGGTCAGTGGGTAGAGTTGTGGCCGTATCTAACTGTGTGTGTCCAGTTAGTCATTTCATGACTGTTACTGTTGTGTCGTCGTTGTCGTTGCATGTTAGACGCGCGTAGCGGATGAGCTGGCATTATATTATTTTAATTTTTTTTGTGTTTGTGCATGGAAATATAATCATAGATATATATAATTTTTGTGCTTTGTCACGTGTTGTTTAAAAAAAAATTGGATATATTAAATTCAATATATGAAGATACATATTTTGGTAGTCTACTAATTTTTAAAATAAAATATTAATGATGTGCGTCTTTGAACTGCCGAGTGAATATAATCAAAAGACATAGCAGAAAAAAAAAATAATAATAATAATAAGCAAATTAAATGCTTAGCTAGAAAAGCTGATTTACAGCGGGAGACACGAGGAATCTCAATAAATATTATTATTTAATTTGAGTTTTCATGTTTATACGGAAAGTGGCGTGAGGTAAATTTTTATTTTTTTATTCTTAGAGCATTCTGGTATTTGGTATTCGAATTTAATAGTGGCAATAAAGTTAATATAAAATAAAATAATTAGAAATACTTTAAAAAAAAGTTTGACTTGCTCTTTGGCGCGACAGAAATGCTGGCAAAATTAGCATACAATTTCGTCAATTTTATCCCAATGCAGATCTCTAGGCAAGTAGGTAGGATAATAGTAAAAAAAGGGTTGCCTACATTTAGGAATACTAGATCTCTCTTAAGTCTCATGGTTTACACTGTGGTAAATATAAAAAAAGTATTTCATTAGACAAGATGATGGCATAATAATGATGTAACTTTTTTAGGAAATCACTCTTCTAAAAAGTGTGGTTCATTATATATACAATAATATAAAGACTGTATACGTAATCAGCATACACATCTGCATATACAAGTACATGTGATAAGAGTTCTTAAATAAATTAGAAAAATCCCCAGAAAAACGTTCACTATACTTACGAAAATTCTGTAACAGGATACTCATACAATTGTGACTAACACAAAAATGGCTTTCTCTTTAACTACTGAGAGCGTGTGCTAGCCTTGTGATAGGTCAAAGGCTCAAGTTGTAATTTATATTTGCCAAAAGATATCTAATTTTCCTCAGCCTTCCAAATTCTTCTTCCTTCTTGCAAAGTCTCTTGTGAAAAGAGGACAAAAACGTTGCCTACAATTAGGCTCATAAATTAATATTTTATGCAAAGTCGCACACTCAAAAATGTTACAATGATAGAAACGGAAATCGTTTTCGAAATAATAAAGTTAAAAACAAATCTTGAAATGATTTTTAAAATTGTAATCAATTGGTAAAACAAATATTATTATATATTTGATAAATCAGTTTTTATATATATTTTTTTTCATTTATCAAGTTAGTTGCACTTTGGCTGAGAAAAACTTTTGGGGTGTTTAAACTTAAGAAAAAAATATATTATTATTCTTTTGCTATATTCAGTTAACATTTAATTAAAGAATTTTAATTTTTATATTGAAAAATCTCTCAAAAAGAAATTTATTAATTAATTAACAAGAAGCATTAAAAATACTGAAAATATGATATATATGTATCTACCTACGTTCAGATCTGAAACCCCGCTCTTTGGCTCTACGTAATATTTAGAGAGAAACATCAGTGAAATAATTGAACATGTACTATGGTTTTACATATTCATTTAAATTTATGTAAACAAATGTGAGTGTGCATTTTTTCAAACAGCTCAACTCATTTGTGTTGGCGTTAATTTTGACTTACATTCAAGTATGTATGTTTGTGCATATGTGACTGCGGCTAATTTTTCTTTTCTTTTCGTGTTGCGACTCTCATTCCACGATATGAGCTTATCTTGGCATCACTTGACAGCTATTCTTTCTTGTCTTCACATACCTGATACTATGTACGTTTACAGCAACAACAACACACTTGTTTGTATTATCAATTGCCTACAAACTAAATTGCTCAGTTGCAGTAGATTTTATTTTTATTTGTTCATTGTTAAAAATATGTATATATAAACATACAAGTACATATATATGTATACGAGTATGCATAGCTTTAGCTATTTACTATTCTTCAGTTAGTCGACCGTTGTTGAATTTACAGCTTACATATATACTATAGACATACAGTTTTTGTAGTGAAAATAGAAAGTGGTCCATAGTGCTCTCACTTTGTCGCTACAACGAGAATTTGATTTGTGCAACGGTAAATTTTTCAATGTCTTCGCCGATGTGAATGGCACGAACCGCAAATCGTGTTTTTTTTTTTTAAAGATGAAGAGAAAAAAACACATTTCGCAATTGATAGTTGTAAAGCACAATAAAAGAAGAATTTTTTATTTTTATTTGTTTAACAAATACTCAGATTTTTAAATAGCGGGATTATTATGTGATTTCATACATGTGTATGCATGTTTTTATTGAATGCTCTGAAAATGTGTTGTTGTGGAAGTATTATTTAGAAAACAAGTAATGTTTAATGCAGATTGAGTATTAAAAAAAAGCTTTTCGGAAGTTTTGGAACTATTTACATATGTAGGCTTCGAAATTGTGGCTATTGAAAGTGAATTTTCGGGTAGAGGAGCTAGGTTGCACAGCTGCAAAAAGTTTTGTTTTATTTTATAGCCTTTTTAATTTCCACAACATCCCGAAAATATGTTCCTAAATTTCAAAGTCGATCCGATTGAAAGTTTCGGCTGGATAGCTGCGTTGTCAAAAGTTTTGAAAACCACTCAACTGGTCTTTATGAATTTTTAGATAGGTTCTTGAGCTACAACTCACGGGGAATTAGACATAATTTTTGTAATTTTAAAAATCTGCTAAAAAATTAATTCTAAATTCTTTGTAATTTGATTTTAATTTGTTTTTGCGGCCACGCTATATATTAATTTGGTTTTTCTTCAAAATTAGGGTTTATGGTATTAATAGCGTTCAGGGATTTTTTCTCAATTCGGTTGATTCTGTCATAAGTTCTACTGTCTATCAGACGCATATTTTTTATGAATATTAGAAATTCTCTTTCATATGCATATATTTAAAAGAATATATGGGTTGAATAAAGTATTTTATTTTTTCTGTAAAAAAGTTTTGGAAATAGACCTTTTCTCCGAATGAAGCCATGCACACCTTAACGCAGATCTTAGAAAACTACCTGATTTGTTTAAAAATTCTGTTTAATAATATAAATAGTATATACTTTCTTTTGAGTAGATCAAGTATGTACTTGCTTAATAATATTCACGAAATTCCTTTCAATTCCTTTTAGTTAAATTATATTTTTTTTAAATTTATATTAAAAAAAACCTAGCTTTAACTAAAAAAATGTACTTCTTATTAATAAATATTATCAATTTTTCTGTAAATTAATTAATTCATTTTCTTCGTTTTCTTTGCCTCGTTTTAGATAGCTCTATAAACAGTGCGGTGGTCTTCTTCCGCCTCGCAGTCGGGTATACATATGTACATGCCGCTGAAGTGTAGATAAAAATTGAGTAACGATCAACCAATTCCACAACAAAATACATCTCACTCCAAACCAAAACACAGTAAAACCTATAAAATGGGACGACAATTGCGGCCAAATGCGCTCGCGATTTTATTTTGCTTAGTGTTCATAGCGAAGGTGAGTATTTTTAATGATTCATATATGTATTGTATATGTATAAGTTCATAACTTAACTTAATGAATGTAATAATGAGTTATCAGATCACAAATAAACATAGTCCTTTTTAGGTTAGGGTTTTGATTTATAGTTTTAAGTTATAGATTTTATTTACTAAATATATTTTAAAGGTGAAATCACATATAATTGGCGCTTTGTAGCCGCTGAAGCGAGCTCCTCTTCCAATTTGTGGTTTTGCATCTTTATGTTTTTCCAACAAATGCAGGGACCTATATTTTATATGAAGCCGCCTCCAAACGGCTGATGTTTTTTTATGAGGAACCATTATTTCATGTCCGAAATACACTCGGAGCGGAGCAATTAGAAACCGAAACTTGAAACCGAGCCTTCCAGATGGCAGTACGCAATGCTAACTACTCGGCTACCGCGACCGCCTAATTCATTTTTAACACAACAGTGGTAAAGCAGAAATTCCAAATGCATAAATGAACTAGTATTTAACAAATATTAAGCTGATACATAGTCGGATAATCGACATGAACTCTTGCATGGGCACCACTAACGTGATTATAGCCGAATCAACAATAGCACGTTATTCGATGTTCCCTTCGATGTTTGGTGTCACTTGGAAATACCAAGTGAAACCTGGCCGCACTCTGCATTGGTCGGTCGAAATGAACTATATCATTGTCACCGTATAACTGCTATCGTATAGACTGCCAACAGTGACATGGTAGCAGAGTCATAAGTGCGCCAACTGTTTGTATGACGGCAGGGGATATTTTGTCTCTGTCATCGCTTCGCTTCTTTGTCAAGCTTGGAGAAGGAACAGTTAACGGCGCGGTCATAATCATACGCCAGCAGTTTAACACTCTTGTAAAATATTGGGCTTTGAGTATTTAGCTCTGTAGCACTTAATATTTCCTCCAGCATAAAATTAAAGAAATTGCATGATAAACAGGCACCCTGTCTGAAGCCTCGTTCCAGTTTTGTTTTGCCTTCAGACAGGGTGCCTGTTTATCATAATACTAAATTCAGACGGCCTTAAAATCGATGAAAAGGAGATGTGTATTGATTCGTTATTGGTGAATATTTGGTTAATGGTGGAGCTACCAGGTCTAAAGCCACACTGATAGGGTCCAAATAGCTGGTTATCGATGGGCTTTAGTCTTTCACACAATACGCTTGATGAAACCTTATATGCGATATTTAGGAGGCTAAACCTACAGTAATCGGCGCAGATTGTGGGGTGCTTTTTATGCATTGGATAGAGCACACTTAGATTCCAATCCTCGGTCTTTCAACCATATTCTGCAGAGGAGCTGTTGCATGCACCCTGTCAACTCTTCACATCCATGTTTAAATAGCTCAGCCGGTAAGCTATCGACTCCGGCTGCTTCGCTGTTCTTTAAGCCGACAATCCCAATTGGAACCTCGCCATAGTCGCGTTGTGAAACGAACGTCTTTTCCATCTGTTCAGTCAAGGTGAATTAGATAGAGCGAAAATCAGTTGTTGAGAACTACTTTTAATCCAAGCATGATATCTACGTGTTTTGAAGAAGAATTGAATCGCGGCAACTTACGCGGTACAGGAAATTTCGTTTCCAAGAAAAAATTTGGGAAAAATACTGTGTTCACAGTGCCCACTCGAGATGGATTCAAGGTACTGATATTCCTTGCCGCGGACATTTTGTTAAAAAATTCGCATTACAAACATACACTGCTAAATTATTAAGTTTTTATTTTACTATAATTTTATCATAGATAAAAAATTTCATTTGTTTCTCGCGCCATACCTGTTTACCCACACTGTGTTTGTAAAATCCATTTCACTATTTGCAAATTGATGTGCAAATAAATGCACATACACATGTGCATACGTACATAAATACATTTCTAATTTGTACATACTCGTACATAGCTTGTTTGCCGGCTTTTGCCATTCGTTAGCTCAGTTGGCGGCGCCTCAGTGCAGTTATGCTCTAATTTCTACAAGTTTTGACTTTCTTTTACAAATATTTTTTCGCGCTTTATTAATCACCAAAGCCAGCATAGCTGACAGGCACTTTTAAGATTTTATTATTTTCTTATAAATAGTGTAGATGTGTGTGTGTAAGTATGTGTGTTTATGTGGATTTTTGTCCTTAATTTACTAATTATGATTAAAGCACGCAATCGTAAATGCAGGCGATCACTACTTGGCTGCAGCTGTGTCTTATTGAAAATTAGATATGTACATATGTATGTATATATGAATGTGTGGCTGAGCATACAATTTTCAAGATGTCTGAATATGCACTAATAGTTAGTCTGCCGTCGTAATCGCCGAGTGGTTATCATTGCGTGCTAACATTCGGAAGGCCAGCGCTTGAGTCCTGGTCCGACAGGCATCCAAAATTTTCGAAAATTATTTTTGGTCCGCAGCAGGGAATGTCTGAGCTACCGAGTGAAATAAGTCTATTCAAAAAAATACATCGGCCGTTCGAGGACGACTTAGAATAAACTATAGGTCCCATCATTTGTTGTGTTTGGAAAAGCATCAAGGCACTTATCACAAATTGGAGAAGAAACCCGGCCGTTATAAAGTTCGGCTGCCACAATAATGAATGGGTTGCCATTTGTATTAACGACAACTCTCTTATCCGCGAAAGCCCATATTTAACAAGTGGCACAGTTTATTTAAACAAGCAAAGAAAACTCTTGAAGAGGACCCGAGGCCATCCAGCCGCATCGAACCGACCACGCCAGAACTTATTGAATAAGTTGAAAAAATTTTCCTCGACCATGCCCGACCGAGAAGACAAAACTCGTAGAAATAGTTGGAGTATCCGATACAACTATTTTTAAATCCTGCTCATTCATCTTGGCATGACTAAGGTCAGCGCAAGATGGATGGAGAATGCTCACGCCTCCGCAAAAACTACAGCGTGCATTTTTGGAACTCTGAATGAAGTGAAGGTTGGACCATTGCGCCGATCAGTTCAATAACGAAACTTGGGTACAGTACCACCCAAGAAGTTTAAGGTGGTATAGTCAGATGGGAAACTCATGGGGACGGCCTTTCGCGACTTGGAAGGAATATTATTGATCGATTATAAAGATGAGAGTGTTTTCATCACAGGAGAATACTACGCTTTAATATAAGAGCGAATAAGATAAAAAATATATTACCGAAGATGAATTCAAAGCGAAAGAAAAATTATTTTTGAGAGTATAAATAATTTAATTGAAAGATTTGAAAAATCCATCCGCCTTGTCGATCAGTATATTGCAAGGGAAGAATAATTTGTTTTCTATTTCTAACCTTTTTCCCTCATTCCGCGAACATAAAAAGGCTCTTCCGTACCATATTGAAAATAATAAATAGTAAAAATTCGATTATTTAATCAAAAATTTTCTTTAAAGTCTTTGAAAAATAAAAACGAAAGCTTCTCCTAAAACAACAACAACTCAATGTTATTGCTTGTGGCTTAAAAATATTAGACATTAGTATTTATGTATGTAAAAACCTTCACAGAAAAGCAGACCCTTATTAAAATTTCCGAAGAATAATTTTCTATTTAGAAGATTTTAACCCACTCACGGTCGGCGGAGTATAAGTTTTGAGAGAAGCTTCGAATAGAGCTTTTATTATTGAACTTCTCTGATAGATGTATGTATCTTAAAAATCTGATTCACCTTTTGGTTTGAAGAAAAGCTTACACCAGTGCGTTAAAGCTTTTAGGCAGCAAAAAAGGTTCAATATGATCCCTTCAAATGAGAGAAAACGCTCCACTTTCGTGGGAGATTTTATGATTCGGCACTTAAGGTTTTATTTCTCTGTTATACGTATGTATGTATTTTAACCCATGTATTTTAAAATTTTTCCGAAACAACTTACACAACTACCTGAAAGCTTTGACACTTTACCTATAGAGATAACAAAAGTAAAAATTTTAAAGAAATAACAATAAACAATTTGAAAAGGGAAACAAAACTCAAGCCACTTCCAATTACCCACACAAATTAGTGGCATTTTTTCCTTCGTAAGCATAAATGTTTATTGATCCACATGCTTATGTAACCAGTTCTGGCTAATTTGACTTTCAAAAGTCATTATCGGGAAAAAGCTCTGCTCAAATATGCCTACATACAAATGTAATAAAAAATTTACATATATACTTATATATATTAATTTTATGAACATTTCACTGCAGCGCCAATCACAGCTTCCAATTTTTTCCACATTTCTTCTCTTTAATTTGCTTTTATTTATTTATTTTTTTCTTTGCTTTCCAGCTGTTATTTTTTCGTTCCCAACAACTTTCGATTTTAGCATTCCAACATTAAGACCGAAAATTTGTAACACCAGCAACAATTCATGCGCACCCCATACCATTCAAGTGACAAGTTAAATTTTTGTTGTGAGTTTTAATTTTTTATATATCGTATATATATTATATATACAAATGTACATACGAGTATGCTGGTGTATGGATAAAGTACAAACACACAAATTTAAGCCAACATACAAAAGTCACAACATCCGCTTCATTCGAATATTCCAGTAAATTGTAACCGTCGTTTTCTTTTAACAAATTGGTTGTCGAAATTTTTTAAAGCAACAACAGCGAACGACTTGCTATTCGCCTGCATATGCATATTCACAAATGTATACTCGTAAATATACGTATATATATATATACATATATAAGATGAGTGTGCTTACATGAAAGCGCCAAACCATTCGCCTTTAGGGAATTAACTGTTTGTGGTGTACTCAAAAAGGGCAAAAGCAAATGTTGTGTAATACCATACACATTAGGGTGGAGCGTTGTTTGTGATATATTTCTATGAAAATATATAAGAAGCATTTATAGTTGTTGTTCTCTTTTAAATATTATTTAATAACAAGGATTAGGACATGTCCGACGGATACGCTCAACATGCTCCTGTATCAACTACTTGTAGACATCTTCATTCGCCAAGTTGCTGCTGGTTCTGCCATCGGGCTCATGGGGTGAAATTTCTGGAACCAAAAACGATTTGGACACCACGATATATTAAGCCAACTCGCAAACATAATTCAATAAATCAAATTATATTCGCCGAGTGTTAAAATTCAATGGTTGTATCTAGGTGAGGATACTCTCTAGACATAAATGGAGGTGGGATTTCGTAGCAGAGGAAGTTGTCACTCCAATCCACACCGTCGACTCTAAAATAGACTGCGGACTGCTAGCCGCTAGCATATTCCAAGTGGCAGTACTAGGTATTGAAAAGAATTGTAGAGCAGTAATGAAGAACTAGGAGAAAATACTGCAGGTAGTCGGATAGTCAGGTGGCGTTGCTGGCCAAACCATCGGCGATGTTAAATAAAAGCGTCCTCAACAATTGTAAGAAGGCTCTAAGCTCCCTGGCGAGTCAACTCGCCAACACCTTAATCTGGGCTAAGTTCTTGACCATAAGAATATTTTTGGCAATAAAAAGGTTGACGATTTCGGCAAGTCAGTAGCATGCATTGACAAATCTGAATACCATGCCCGTTGGGAACAATCAAGAGAAAGCGAAACTTATCTGGCTGAGATATGACAAAACCAAAACCAAGGATCTATTAAAAAGGTCAATGAAAAGTATATGTAGACTTAAAAAAAATGGGGCCACCACATATTAACCTTTGCCGAAGCTACGAATTAGAAGGTAATAAGGAAATAATAATCCACTTTTACTGTGAATGCCCAATTTTATCTCAAAATCGACACAAAATACTTGGAAAACATTAGGAATCAAGCCTTGAACGTATCCACAAAAATATACATAATTAGTTTCTTTGCGAATAAACACTAAATAGTTTGAATATAACAATGAAATTTCATAGCATATATACTAAGGTCCTACCATAACGCATCAAAACCGGCGTTCACAGCGCTAATTGAGATATGTAGATGCTTAGATCTTGCCTACCTGAGCTGTTTTTGCTTGTTCTGAAACGGTAAAATAAAAGGGTGAGCCTGACACGTTTCTGGAACCGATGCAGTTTTTATCGTCAGAAGTCTCTGTAAAGTTAAAAGCCAAATATGTATAATATTAATAATTAATGAAATTAATTTGAATTATTTCTATTTCGTTTTTTCTTATTCTTATTCCCGTCAATTAAAATAACTATTCACCGTAGTAAACTACACATTTCACTGAAATATTGTACATTCACAATAAGGTCTCTTAAGACGCATTAAACATGCCGTCTGTCGAGGATTTTAATCACGCTTAGAAAATGTCTCATATACATACTAGAAAAATATAAATATTATTCGTATAAGAATTGTGAAATTTAGAATTCTAGTGTAAAAATGTTAATGTTTAAGTAAACAAACAACAAAGCAGTTTCTTTTTTTAATAAGGAGAATTTTAATTCCTATGCATGGTAACTAGCGCAAAACACCCACGAAAATTTTAAATTAATTAAAAATGGCTCAGAACTACGTTGATATTACTCATTTCTTTAAACAAAATTGTAAATCATTTTTCTTAAAAAAAATCGAGCAAGTCTAATGTGACACGAAATGCGAATCTGCGCTGGGTTTTTACATGCTTTTAAGTCGAATTTTCGGTGCAACGTATTGGCTCAATTTCTTGTGTGTTGTGCCCACAAAAAAACGTCTGTTAAACCGTATTTTCTTTATCGTTAGGATGGTTACCTGAAGCCTACAAAACGCAGCTGCTGCATGCGGCTACAAAATGAAAAAAATTAAGTATATTTTTGTATTTGTTTTTAAACGTATTCGTAAAAAACGCAAAATTGTTACAATAATTTTTGTAGCTTTTCGGCTGTCGTATTTTTTTTCCTTTACCTGACTGTTATGCAACTGGAAAAAGCGATTACAGCGATTTCTGTTACCTTATTTTTTTGTTTCCTGGTACTCTTGTACATATTATATGTCTGTACATAAATATAAATATTTGTATGTATGTGTAGGGTTTTTTCAAGTCATTATTTTTAGTTTTGGAGTTTTGGCAGCGAAGTGTATCGAATCTGCCAAGGGAGTAGCCAGGCATGTTTTGTGAGAGCGTTGTTTGTACACATGTACATATGTACATATGTATGTTTTTTATAAATGTAAATCCACTCGAAACGTTTCAATGCTATGGTGGTTTAATCAAAAAGCAAATTATTTACGCTTACAAAGTTAACAGCATTTTGATGTATGTGTTTCCCTCTTTGCGCTATTATGAACACACGCACATATACATGCGTACTTAACCTCAAAGTTATGCAATTACTATTGTTTTTTGTTTTGTTTGAAATGCTAATGCACTTCTCCTGCTATTCTTCGTAAAAGCTTCGAAGCGTTATTATTGCATTTGCGAAATAAACCGCTTTCAACACCAATTCCAGTTTATTAACAGCTTAATTATATTTATTTGATTACTTAGTTCGCTTTGAGTAAGCGCTTAAAAAATTTACCAACATTTTTGTTTTCAAATGTGCATATTTTTGCTTATTAATGCAAAAGTAATTCCATGAATCAAATTTGAATAAATGATTTGAGCTGACTGCAAACAATTTAGTTGATTATTTCACTGATTAATAGCATAATAGTATAATTAATTATATTTATGAACTGTCCAGGAAATTTTAATTAATTGTGATTGCTAATTAATCGCATATAGTTTGATATAATTCTGATTAATTGTATGACTAACCAGGGGAATGTGAAAAATAATGATTTTAATCGAATTTTGATTAATTGAAAATCGACTAATTTTTTTGTTGATCAATCGCAACTTAATTAAGCCTTTAATGATTTGATTTTTGTTTGTTTATATGAACCAACCAAAAAAATTAATTATTTAGTTGATTAATCGTCTGATAAGATTTTTTTTAAAGCGTTAATAAACTGACTGTGAAAAATAATTATTTAATTTGTTTATAAATCACATAAGGATTTCCATAAATTTATACACCGACCAGGAAAATGTGATTAATTATTTGATTGAATAATCGTAAAATAATTTGATTTCAATTTTGATTAAATATAAGAATTAAATCCAAAAATTGGATTAATCGTGGTGTTTATTAATCTAATTTTCTTTAATTGTATCCACTAACTAGGGATTGCATAATAATTGGATTAATTATTTTTACTGACTAATAAAATGTAATCAATTATGTTTGTTTTTATTATTAAATTCTTGCTTAACTAGTTCATATAGGACTAGGAAAATTTTAGAGTTTTTATGATTAAAATAAAATAGGATTAGTGATTTTGTCTGACTATATTATTTGAACCCAATATTTATGTGTTTTTCAAAAATAAAATCGCAATTCCATTATAAACAACAATTATTAATAATATGCAACATTTTTTTCTCTCTTCTCTTTGTTACTCTTTTTAGGACGCTGTTTGCGAGGGACCACACGTTGACTCCGCCTCATTACCGCTCGAACACAGATCCGTTTATGGACCACCAGCACCATCGCCTGTGTACGGCGCTCAGCAGGGTCCTGTGCCGGCGGGAGTTAGCAATGAGATTTCCGAAGACGCTTGGCCGCTCTCGGCCACCAATGATAGTCCACAGATTAAGCATTTACAGGTGCAATGCGAAAAGACGCATATGCGTGTCAATATCGAATTTGATCGTCCCTTCTACGGCATGATCTTTTCGAAAGGTTTCTACAGTGATCCACACTGTGTACATCTGAAGCCGGGTACTGGTCATTTGAGCGCCACTTTTGAGATTTTCCTCAACAGTTGTGGTATGACAAGTTCGGCTAATCACAATGCCGCCGGTTATGGTGCGCCAACGCCTTCGGGTAGTTATGTGGAGAATACTATCATCATACAGTATGATCCATATGTGCAAGAAGTTTGGGATCAGGCTAGAAAATTGCGTTGTACATGGTATGACTTTTACGAGAAAGCGGTCACATTCCGTCCATTCCAAGTGGATATGTTACATGCGGTTACTGCGAACTTCTTGGGTGATAACCTGCAATGTTGGATGCAAATACAAGTGGGTAAAGGACCATGGGCGTCCGAGGTGTCGGGTATTGTGAAAATCGGTCAGACAATGACTATGGTTTTGGCTATTAAGGATGATGAAAACAAATTCGATATGTTGGTACGCAATTGTGTAGCTCACGACGGCAAACGCGCGCCTATACAATTAGTCGATCAGAACGGCTGCGTTGTGCGTCCAAAGATAATGAGCAAATTCCAGAAGATCAAGAATTTCGGTCCATCAGCATCAGTTGTGAGCTTTGCATACTTCCAGGCCTTTAAATTCCCCGATTCGATGAATGTACACTTCCAGTGCGTAATACAAGTATGTCGCTATAATTGTCCCGAGCCTAAGTGCGGTCCTGGCTTGCCTGGCGGTGAATATGGTGTGCCACAAATTGGTAATAATGCACTCTCGGCAGAATATGGTGCACCAGAGCCTTACGACCGCAACGATTACCCCTTGGGCGGTCTGCCACCAGCAGCCTACCCAGATCCACGTCATCAGGCTGCCGATGCCACCGGCGCTTACTCTGAAAACCAACCCGATGTAGTGCCCTCACCACAAGCACAAACCGCCGGTGTTACCACACCCGAATCGGGTCTGCAGAGCTCACAAGCGACACCGCAAAGTGTAAATGATTTACACATGCCACCACCACCATTACCTGGCCAACCAGGTCTATATAACACAGTCAAGCGAAAGGATGACATCGAGGGCGGCAACCTAGTGTCGCTGGGCGGCCGACCACGTTCAGTTGAAGGTTTGGATGACTTAAGAGGCGTACGCAGACGACGTGATACTATTGATATTGTGGTGAAACCACGCATTTACAAGCGAGACACACAAGAGATGACCGATGTGAATACAAGCCGAACCATACAGGTGGTGGCGCCGGGCGATGTCAATTTCGCGCTCAACAACAACTCCAACAATGAAACAGTGGTCATACAATCGGCACGATCGGCTGATCCTGAGACGATTTGTATGTCGGTGCCGAGTTTTGTCGGCGGTTTGGTAATGCTGTTGTTGGTGCTGGCCGTAGCATCTCTAGTCGCTGCATTCCTCTTCGTACGAGTACGACATTTCGATCGAAAGGGTGCCTCCATGGCGTATGTTAACTAATTAAGGAAGCCACTACAATGCACAAAGCGATTATTTCAGCCACAGCCACGACCTGCAACACACTGCACAAGTACAACAGCTAAGCAAGGAGTGCGTGTCCGTAGTCGAAAGTGGTTGGAACAAACGAACTGACGCTTATACATAAATACAATAACGATCTGTCATCGCACATTAAACCCATACCAAACCACAAATACATATACATATACATGTAGGACCACACATGCAAATACATATTTTAAGTTTCACGTAAATAACTGTATATCCGCAAATACTTTCGTTTACCCACTTGGGTGTTTGGTGTGTGTGCCTATGTATGTGTGTGTGTGTGTGTGTGTTATGTGGACGCAATCGCGATTTCATCACCTGTACTCCGATTTGCTTCACAAACGACCAGCGGCGGCGGAAACCCAAATCGAAGATGCAAATTGTGACGGGTGAAAATTGTAGAAACAATCTCGAGCTTGCGGCCCACTACTACTACTACTCCTCACCTCCATCATAGAAAAGACGAACTTAATTTATATATGTATATGTAAATGTTTCACTGTTTCTAATTTATTTAATTTATTTATTTATTCTATCCACAACTACTACTACATGCAAATATGCGGATATGTCTCTTAAATATTATGTTTTTAGGCTTCCCTAATAAATGCGTGAATAATCTCGACTCACCACCTGGACGTATGACGTACCATTTACATACATGCATACGTACATACGAGTACATATGTGAGTATGTCAGCACGTACGTCACTCCAGTTTTTATCAGTCGTGTTAACCTAAGGTTCAGTTTAAAAATAAAATACATAAATGTATTTAAATATCAATCAAAAATTGATGAAACGAAATATAAAGAAAATGAAAAGGCGAAAAATAAAAGAAGAAGAAGAAATTTAAAAAAATCTTACAAATAAGTTAATGTAGCAACATGTGTATATATTAAATTATTTTTATTTAATAGACCTGAATAAATTTGTATTTGACATGAATTTGTTGTTTTTTTATATATATTATTTTATTTTTAGCGCATACGATGAAATTCAATCAAATTTTTAAATATGAGAATGATTATTTAATCCTAAAATGATATGGTCACGAAAATTGCAAAGACATCGGAATGACCGAATGCAGCACTTTTTCCTTGTTTTTGTCTGCATAAAAATCGCTTACGCGATTATAGAAGAGTTAATAGCGAGACCCTTTCGTTTCTACCCTTCGCTGTTCTGTGCCCATGTGTGCTTTTCAACGGATTCGAGATCTTTCTCTTCTTCCTCTGCTTCTAAAATTTGAAATCTGCACGACATGATATGACCTAGACAGCGCGATCGCTAGCTTTTAATTCAATATACTCGAAGAGGAATGATGAGAGACCTGCAGAGTTTGGACTTTATTCGTCGATAGAGGACTCACCCTTTCTCTACTCAGTGCCGGTGGAAGTAGCTTTAAAAGCGATGAAAAGGTGTGTCATTTCTTTTCTCACGAATCTTTTTCTCAAGGTTGAAAGCATGGTGAATATCTGGTCATTGGTATATTCACCAGATTCAAAGCCACACTGGTGAGATGGTTGACTTTAATCTTGCACACAATACACTCGATGAAACCTCGTATGCGTTATTGAAGAGGATTATGCCACGTCAATTGGCGCATACTGTGGGACCTCTCATTTTATATATCAGATAGAGCGCACTTAGGTTAAGTGCACTTTCGTCATCCGTGGCCAAATTTGAAAAGAAGTTAATGAAATCATTCTGACAGTTCTTTGCCACTCCTTTTGAATAGTTCAGCTGGCACCTATTATCTGTTGCTGTCGCATACCTCCCCCCTCTAAAGTTATCTCTCTTTTAGTCGTGAGCCAATACTCCACACAGATTCATTATCACATCTTTGCTATATTCTTGTGTCTTTGTTGTAGCCATCAGAGGTGTCCCGAAAGTCTATTCGTCTTCTCACGTGCCCTAGCTTTCAACTATTTAAAGACGTGTAGCCTCGTAGGAGTTATGATTGTCCTGTTTTAGCTACTAAACTTGCGGGTAATATATGTTTCTGTAGCTTTACACCATACAATAATACCGTTGAAAAGTAACATATTATTTATAGTTCATTATATTATGCAAAATTTCTGTGTGGTTTCCAATTTTGGCCAGAATAACATCCAAAATTATAAAAAAAATTTATTTAAAAAATCTGATCCTCACTTATATATACATATTTATGTATATACTCGTAGTATATAAACTATTTTTTTTATCTCAACGGACCAGTAGGCCTAAGTGCGCTTGATCAGGGTTGCGTGCTCAAGCAACCTGTTAAACTAAACTCTTAATTTGCATATACATACATATAAGTATAAGTGTATATTATTACTTCTTTGTTTTGTTACACGTGAGTGTTTTGTAAACAATGAAAATTGCTTGAGTATTTTATAAATAACTAGTAAGGAAAACTATGTTTGGGTGGAACCAAACACGGCTATTGTTTACGTCAGGACTAAGTGAATACTCGTAGAAATTTTCACTGTTCATTGATAGAGGTATTCCAATCATTTGAATGGTGTAAGGTAGGAACGATTATTGTGTGCATAAACGGTAGAATGGTTATACATATGTATATCTTGTCACCAGATACAGAAGAAGACTACTTTATGACTATCAGGCCTATTCTGTCGAGGTAACAAAATTTACCTAGGTATTAAAACTTACCATTCAGTAAATTTTGTTACCATTTCGTATTCTGAGCTCACTGTTACCCTGTAAATTTTGTTACCAGTGAACAGGAGGTAACAAACATATCTGCTGTTTGATTTTGAGTTGTTAGTTTCAGAAAAAATAAAAACCAAAATGGGTAGGCATATTTTAGGCCTTGAATTCATTGCAGATGAAGAAAAATGTGCAAAAGGCCGTATTTTAAGAAGTTTTCGAGACAAAAAATAGCCTTTTAATTTGTAACATATCGTTTTCATTCAGCTTTTTTTGTTTTCCAGGCATATTTTCCATAATTAGGTTCAAAAATTTATGATTTAATAAACAAATTAATAAAACTTTTTAATTTTTTTGTGCACCGTCTTCCATTTCGATGTGAATATTTTCCTTTTTACTCAGAGTGAGGTGGGAGCCACACTTCGACAATGCTAACACCACAGATCGTATGAGCAAGGAAAATGGGAAGAGTTATTTAGTGTACTGACTGTGACTTTTTTAAATTCAAACAATTCTCACTGAATTAAAGAAGTAAGCTACACTTTAATTAATACTATTAATTTATAAACATCTCTTAAACTTTTTTTTTATCAGAACTAAGAGGACAGGTATTTATGATTCAAATGGTTTGCTTATTATTATTTAATACCGAGCAAACTTAAAATACCATTTGTACGCAGTATGGCTGGGTGTAAAAATTTTTATATAATTTAATAAACCAGTTTATTTATGAAGTGAAAAAAATGCACTTACTTTGTTGTACAATTACATTTGCTAAATATAAATGCAGTTAAAGAAATATTATGGAAATACATACATAAGTGAATTCTTATCTAAGACTCGGAGCAAAAGAGACACCCTATATACAGCGCTTTTATCTACAATAATAAATAAACCTAATCATATAAGTGTGGACATACATATGTACATATATGCATACATACCTATGTTGAAACTTTGTTTCATATTCATACCCGGTAGAAAACTAATATTAGCCATTTTAGCTTGCACTTGAAGGTATAGATATGAATTTTACTAAAGAAAATAGGAAATGCTCTATGAATAATTCCAATTGTTTATCAATACTCAATAACGCAAAACTTATGTTATCTAGTTTGCTTAATCATGATGAGAATTTATTGCAATATATACATACATATATACAAAAATACTTACAATACATACGTAAACATTATTTCACCAAATCATGCTAAGTCAGCGTTTCTGTTGTCAAAACAGTGGCAATGACATGGTATAAAATCGCAGGTATACGAATGTAGGTGCCACCGAAAAACAATTAAAAAACGTACCCATTTCTTGATTTTCTTTCAGGCTTAAATTTTCGACAGTTGCATCTGTTTATCTTTCGAAAGCAAAGTAAATCAAACAAAATTTTCGTGATATTTGCTTTGAGCATACATACATATATTAATGAAATCGGAGTAATTCTAACAAAAATTGTTTCATATTGACTTTTGAGCGCAACCATACATAAATACATATTTATTTATTTTATAAAAAATAAGTAGTTAAAATTCTTCTATTATTCTTTTATTTACTCTTACTGGTTTAATTTTCTGGGCAGGGATTATTTGAACTACAACGTTTAAACACATACATATCTAAGTGTATCAGAATATGTTCAACTGGCATCGAATATACAAATATTATATTCATTTATGCAAGCAACATCCGGACAATCAAAAATTATCGTTGACGTCGGAGTAATGAACACATTTTCTTCTTCTTCTTTTTAATAAAATTCTGCATGATACGAATTTCTATAGTATGTACATATATACATGGGAGTATTCCTTAAATTTATATTTATTTGCGTCAAGTGCAAAATTAATTTACAAGTGTTTAACATTGGTTACGCGCTACGAGCATCATTAATTGTTGCTGGCACACTCACAACGAGCCCATCCATATCTTTAGTAAGTGTTATTTGACATCCTAAACGGGAAGTATCTGTAAGCTCATATGCCAGATCCAACATATCTAGTTCTTCATCACTGGCCTTGTCGGGTAGTTTTTCGAAATCTTGTACTTTGAAAATTAAATGACATGTAGAGCAGGTCAAAGTTCCCTCACATGCCCCAAAACCATCCAAATCGATATGATTATTTACCACCACATCAAGTAGTGTATCCCCGACCTTTCCTTTCGCCTGTATTTTTTGTCCGTTTGCGCGCAAGAACGTCACATTCACACTAATTAATAATTAAGATTCATTACAATAAGTTAAATATATCAGCTGTTTTTAATTGAAGGAGACTTACTCTTGATGCAGTTGTGAGCCGATCGAAAATGTTCGTAAAGGTTGTAACGAATTGAATTGGGTTGATAACTGATAGGCACCGAAGTTGCTTGCTGTTTTCGCTAAGCTAAAATGGTTTTTGCTTACAGCAGCCTTTATGGAGCACCTGACTAAATTTTGGGCGAACGCCATATCACTTAGTTTTAGATTGAAAGACACACTCGTTCAATATTATCAATTAGCTATGGTGTACGTAATATTCTCCGTATTTTTTCAGTATATAACCTTTGTTAATTGATATTTATTAAGCAATACAAAGTTTCAGCGAAGTGATTACAATCAAATTAAATTGGTATCAAGTGCACGGTACTTGATTACGGCAGAAAATTAAGACGGGAAATACACATTCGCACAATTAATCGAGCAAATGCACTGATTTGACAGTAAAACATATGTTGAAGAGATGACCAGATTTTAATATTTAACGATAATTTCTTAACAGCCTAAATGTATGCAATGAGTGAAAAAGATACAACATATTTGGTTTCTCTTATTCGAATTTAACGTGCTGTACTCTCTTTGTATGTTGAAAAATATGTGTAATTAGTTTAATAAGAACAATATTTAAAATTTAAATTATAAATTTAATCTAAACAAACTATCAAATCGTATTCGCAGACGCGCAGTATCAGAGAATCTCTAAAACATAATTTTAATAGATTCTGTGCGGATTGAGGTAGCTCTGAACGCCATAATACATCAGCTGATTCACCAGTACTGCCAAGTCCTTTATAGTAAACTATTTTATTTACATTTCTATAAATTTGTAAACATGTGCGATCTCTGGAACGAGTTTGAGCTAAAGAAACCCCCACAAATTACTGTGCCTATTTCAAGTAAAAACGCGCCAAATGGTAAGTATTATTTGCGCTTTGATTTTAATGCAAACTTATGAATGGAAAATTTCATAGTGGGACGCTTACAGAACGTGGTACAGCAGTATTTTCGGCGACATCGTCCTCAAGAAGTGGAGTTTGCCGAGGCATCGGCACTTTTGGGTAGGCTAATGGCACGTCGAAAAAATTCATTTCATGGCATGATGGGTTTTCGGGCTGTAGTAAAATGTAATACTGCAACTTGTCGTCTACTCCGCATTGATTTAACTCGAGAACTAGAGCTATTTCACGGATCATTACCTGATTTTGCGCTCGATTCAGCCGATACTTTGGAAATACCTACACAAAATAATTTTGATTACGTATTAATACGATTACTTAATACTTGTGGTGTGTACGACCGTATTCGTGAGTGCTGTTTACAAGCAGCAGAATATTTTGCCAAAATGATGCGCAATAATTTCTTCATGGACACCTGCACACTTTTATTGGCTGTACTAGCTAAACTATATAGCTTGAGCGCAATATTGGGTAATAAATGTGTAGATTTGTATAACCAATTACGACCGATGCGCTTAAAATTCCCGTTGGCGGCAAAGAGTGTAGACTATAATTTGAACCTGCCAGAACAGTTGGAAAAATTTTCTGTAAGCCAGATATTAGAACTTCCTAAAGCTAATAGTATAATCCTGAAGGATGACGCAGCCTTACAAACAACACCGAATGCATTGACAGCTGTTCGTTCCTTGAAAAAATTGAAAAAGCAAAAGGCAATAGATGTAGGTGTAGAAGTAAGCAGAGAACCTATATCATTGTCTCAAACCAAGTCCTTCAACGCAGACACTGAGTTAGGTACAGTTGAAACGACAAAACGTTTTATATCATCTGAGAATGCAGCAAGAAAAAAATCTTTGAAACAAAGCATAACCAGAGATATATTACCTCATGAATGGATGGGGGCAACGCGTCTCTTTGAGAGGAAAGTTTTAGCAAATGACCATAAAAAAGCTTTGAGCATATTTAGAAAATTTATTGTTAACAAAATTTCTTAAATAAATTCATAATATGCAAAAAATTGCAGATCTAGATCAGTGCACCCCTATGGTGGATGACACAGTGCGAATAACTCTACGATTTTGGGGATGAAATTTCTGTAAAGTTTGTTAATTTTTAGAACACACCTTTACAAATGCATTTAAATAATATTGAGTAACAGCAAAAGCACTTACCTTTGTAAATTTTTTAAAGTTTTTGGTAGTTGAGTTATACTCTTTGCCTTGGTTGTTCTGCATCATGCTTCCTTTTCTCACATCTCTTTCCTGCATTAATGTTTTTGTGCTTAGTACCGTAATGACACATCCACCTTTTATTGGTTCATCTTTACCATCACCCTCTACACCTGAGTCATTATTTTCTTTTTTCTCAGTATCTAATGCGTCTTTTACTTGTTCTGATTTAATGCTCAAAGCACTTAATGAACAGTCGAGCCAATCTGCAACACAAATTTTTGCTGGTAATGGTTTTGGCTTTGGCATAACTATTTGGTGAAACTTTTCTTTTTGTATCATTGGCTCTTTGCAGGAATCACCATCAATTTCATCATTGAGATCATTTTGCTCATCATCATCACCACACCCAAAGTTGAAAAGATCCGATTCATCCGAATCGCAACTATCAGCTCCAGGACGTGCTCGCTTAGCTGAACTCGAATCCTCATTCGTATGGCTTTTTCCACCAAAGCAAAACAAATCATCATCATCACTGTTGTCTATAATAGCCACTCTGGCACGCTTGACGCCCTTTTGCAAGAGGGAATCTTGAATTGAAATATTTTGTACATCGGCATTTGGCTTTTGCATATTTTGGATAGGAGCATGAGTCTTTTCTAGGAAGCCAGACATATTTATCACAGTTTTCCTCGTTGTCTTTTTGTTGATAGCTATTGGCAACTCCTTACCGCAAGATTTAGGAGTTTGCTTCGAAGTAGCAGCAGCAGATGTTGACGCATTTTCATCAAGGGGTGAACAATTTGATTTCCTTTGCTGTCTAGTTGCCCGTACGATTGGTGATGCTTTCCTTTCTTCGACATGTGCCTTTTTAGTGGCAAAATTGAACAGCTCATCTTCATCGCTATCCATGTCAGTATTAACTACAGTTGAAGGGCTTTGTCGTTTTCCCCTCGTTCGTTTGCGCTTATTAACTTCTTGTTCACTTTCAGTGATTTGATGTGAAGACATCACCTCCTCATTTGAATTACTTACCCTTGTTTCAAAAATTTGAGAGTGTATGGAATTGATTTGGTCGACCCGTGGTGTAGATAAACCTACGGACGATTTGTCTGTCAAATGTGTGCTGGCAGTGCTTTTACGGTCCGTTTCCGGTATAAAGACTTCTGTTTCTTCGTCCCCTAATGTATCAGACAAATTAGTATGACTAGAAAACCTTTGTATAGTACTTTGCAACACATCAGTGTCATTTGATTTGGTGGCTTGGGATGTTTCGTCATCTACCTTGTAGCTTGGGTTACAGTGCCTTGTTGTCGAACAGCTTATTATTGCCATAGCGATCTCGTATTCAGGCACAGTACGTCGTGAATGAAGTTTAAGATAATCTAATAACAAATAATTTTTAAAAGCTCTATAACATATGCCTAATCACATATTACAATCTTACCTTCGATAGTACTAATTGTTTGTGAGCTTTGCGATTCCATGGAGGGTACGTAATGAACAACAACTACATCTTTTCTAATGAGAAAAGATTTTTGTAGTCCCACATTTAAATGTTTACTCGTTCCTCCAGCTTTTTCTACTATGCATGCGTACGTATTAAAATGACGAGCATGTAAAAACACAAATGTTAAATTTTTGAAAACAGTTTTCCTCGCTTCACGATATTCTATATCGAAATTATGAGGATTTGGTGGCATATAAGAGGCAATTTGTGGTAACAAACGACGTCCACGCCGAGCAGCCTGTACTAGATTACACCAGTAGTCGCAAGTAACAATAGGCTTTTGATCAAGGAGGGCATGCAATAGTTTTGATGTCACATTTATCTCTTTCAATGTTAGGTGGTTGTATGATTCTTCGAAATTAGGTAGAATGCAACCACCAAGTATGGGTAACAATTGTTTTAATTGATTGGTCATTTCATCAGGTAAAGCGGATATGGCAACAATTGGAGTTTTATTTGATACAGTCCATAAGCTTTTTAAAACACCGAAACGTATACGATCACCGTCCGCCAAAACTATTCGTTTATGTTTGGGTAAACTGGCACCTTTCTCGATACTCCCATTATGGAATGTACCGTACTTAGAGCAGGCGTCCTCAAGCTCAAGTATTTCTTTTGTTGTATCACCTGTAGTCTGCTTTGTAGTAATATGCAAGAAAGCGTGTGTGCGACTTATTGAAGAGTCGTCTGTTATAACCAAATCTGCTCCGACTCGTCCCACAGTGTATTTGGATTTTTCGCTAATTACAATAAGGACATTACCTGTTTACAAAAAAATACATTAATATACACTAATATAGTTTTGACGTTTATCCACCTACCTGTGTTATTTGTTAAGATCCACATTTTATTAAGAAAATTATTAAATTTAACCGAATGAAGGAATCAAGCGAAAATTATTGAATGAATTTCAAAATACGAAAACTGCACACATACACTAATTTAATAAGTGCTACCAAGTCAAGGTTAGCGGGGTAATGTCACTTTAATTTATTTAAATTTTTTGTTAGTAGAATTCTTATGGGTACAATTTTATTTTTAATTTGATTGCTTTATGGGAAAAAACCTGCAAAACAACGCAGGAAATTTTTAAGTAGCGCAATAAATTTTGACAACCTAATTACAATCAGCTGAAAAGCAACACAGAATAATTTGTTTAATTTTGAACGGCAAGGCGAATATTTACAAAGCGAAAGTCTTTTAACAGCTGTTCAAGGGTTCAATCATCTAATAATTTGTATTGTTTTTACCGGCTAAGATAAAACCAAGTTCAGTTTGTTTATTATTTACTCCACTTTTGCAAAAAAAAAATTACATCGTTTTCGGCGTTTATTCATTGAAAAGTGTAGAAAAAATATTGACTAGTGTGTAATAAATTGATAAATATGGCCTCGTTATCGGGAGTCCGCGTTAATCTCTTCAATGAAAATTTTCTCAATGAATCCGAGCAGGATGCTAATTCGGTGCTGACTGAGCTAGACAAAGGATTGCGTTCCGCAAAGTTGGGCGTGCAATGTGAGGCCATTGTTCGCTTTCCTAGACTCTTCGAAAAGTATCCATTTCCAATATTAATTAACTCGTCGTTTTTAAAGCTGGCTGAATTCTTTTGGAATGGTTCCAATCTTCTGCGTTTCTGGGTATTGCGTGTTTGTCAACAAAGTGAAAATCATTTAGATAAAATATTGAATATTGAAGCATTCGTGAAACGTATCTTTATGGTGATACATTCGAATGATCCTGTTGCGCGTGCGTTGACTTTACGTACATTGGGCGCCGTGTCACGTGTAATACCGGAAAAACAACAGGTACATCATGCAATACGTCGAGCACTAGATAGCCACGATACTGTTGAGGTGGAAGCCGCTATTTATGCAAGTGGCCAGTTTGCAGCGCAATCACGCACCTTTGCCATTAGTATGTGTGCTAAAATATCAGATATGATTGAATCACTGCAAATTCCTGTACCCATGAAACTTCAGCTCATACCGGTCTTAAGACACATGCATCACGACTCAAATACGTCGACGTTAGTAAAAGATCTTTGTTTAAATTTGCTACCGAAATATCCTGCTGAAAGCTTCGTGGTGGCTATTCTTGATACCCTCACTCAGCTTTCTATACGTACATTAACAGGTGTGCCCGATCAAGTGAAACTTTTGTTAGATTTTCTGCAAGATAAACGTAAGCTAGTACGAGCACAAGTGCTGAAGTCTCTTTCCCAACTGGCACATCCACAATGTGTGCATGCTTGGCCAAAAAAATCTATGAGCGAACTTATAGTAAAGGCACAAGGGTGTGAGGACTCACGCGAACAATACCTTTATCTAAGTATACTACTTAAACTATGTGACTGTCCTTTAACATGTCATACTCTACTACATGAAGAGCAAGAATCGGTGACGGAACTATGTCTGACATGTGTTTGCTTAGATGACTATACCACAGCTAGTCAAGCGATGTCTATAGTTGCTGCCCTTATGACATATTCTGGTGGCGATAAAGATGTTACTGCCAATATTATAGAAATAGCTAATATGCATATGGAAGGTTTAATTTTCTGTATGGTAGGAGATAAAGAAAATGAGCGCGATTTACAAAAAATACTTTGTAGTGGCATCAAAATTGCCAAAGTGAATACTGAATTCGGCACAGATTTCGTAAATATGTTAGCAGACTTAATTATTGAAGACATAGAATATCCACCACACATTGCCGAAATGATGTGCGATGCCTTGGGAGCGCTTGGTTCGCATTTCCAACTACGTAAATTCGCAATAAAGGATACAACTGAAGATGTGACAATGGACGTTGATGATGTACAACCATCAACTTCGGCACAAGCCGCATTAATGGAGCAAACAAAAGCAGCGGAAATAGGCGTTGACAAAGGAGAAGATGAGGACAACCCACCATTAAATGAAACAGTAAGATTTCGTAAACAGTTAAATTAAAAAAAAAAAATATTAATTTCTTTCTAGGATAATCCTGTATTGAATCGTCTGCTTTTCATACTACATAAATTGAATGCCATTATGGATGCTGGCCCGAAAGAGGATCAATTACATTCCGTCGAAATTTTAGCTTCTGTTTCACTTCAATCTATGCTTGGATGTTTTATACCAAAACAAGTAATAGACTGCTTTGAGCGTTGTTGCAGCAAAATAAATTGCTGGAACCAATATCGCATTGCAAGATCTGCCAGTCGTTATGGTCAGCACTATCTTGCGGCACATATATTTTCCAAAATATCACAGTCGACGGTAGTAGACAAACTACATTTCTTTTTGTTGGGCCTATCACAAATGGGAAAAGCTGAGTGCATACTGAATTATGGTGTAGATTATGAATATATGCGTGACAATTATGAATTATGTGCACCATTACCAGAAAATGCTAAATCTGAGAATGAGCCCACCAATAGCACAACCGGAACCGAACTAAAACAAATGCCACTAATGCAGCGCTTAGAAGCAGCAATCAATCTATATTGGCAGGCATTGGCAAGTTTACGTGCCAGCTCATCGCCTGCTAATCCCCTCACATTTCAACTAGAATATCTGAAGCTGCGTGCACAATTTTTACAAACACTATATATGGCGGTTACAGTGAAAAATGCCCAAATCATTGTGCCGCCACCAGCAATTGCTGGAAGTTTAGCACAAAGTACTCGAGATTATTTGCAGAAGTTCGGCCATGTAACAAATCAGTTGCGTAAACTGGTAAAAGCTTTGAAAAGTTGTGAAGAATCGTATGCACGTTTGTATAAATCTGCTTTTGATGCAGATCCTGTGACATTGGAATTTCTCGAAATAGCGGAATATCAATGTGCTTTGTTTGCACATATTGTCGAAACAATATGCTATGCCACACCCTCTGATCCCCCACCATTCTTAACCACTGGTCAATGTCCAGAGACACGGTACTTTGCGGTTTGTTGTCAACGCATGGAAAAAATGCAGCGAAATTTACCACAAGAACCGTCAAATGCAAAAACTATAACAAATCGTCATTTAGAAGTTATTCTATCTGAAATTGAATTGATTACAAAGACACCACTATGTTTACCACGATATTTCTTTCAAGTTTTGCAATCAACCCAAATTAAATTGTCGGTTAGCCCTCAACCACGCAGTCCCGGAGAGCCGGTACTTGTACAATCTGGCAGTAATTTAGTGATAAAAGTAGAAGGTGTTATTCAGCACTACGGTAAGAGGCGTTCCATGTACCGTAGTGTGGACTCAGTACAATTAACACTAACATCACAGCTTGTTACACCTCGACCAGCTAGCGAAACTCCAAAGCCTACTACTTCCGACACCGTAACGCTCACACAAACTGTAAAGCCACAACGGGACTTTTTAACTGGTAGCTTCCTTTTGCCAATATCAAGTGGAGGTCAGTGGCAAGTTACTTTGGAGACATACGTTATAGACGAAAATGGCATAACATGGTGTACGGGCCCGAAAAATTCAATGTTGGTACGTTTATTAGAAGACCCAGCGAAACCAGCAGCACCAACTCCATCGACGTCGGCCCAGGCTGGTCAGACACGAAGGTTTTAGGATGAACAAGCTTAAGTACTAAAATAAGATACAAAATTGTATTAATACATCCGATAAAATAATTTTTGCTATCAATACATTTTCTTTTTATCAACTTAATTAAACAACAATTTTGTTTACAAAAGTGTGTAGGTTATATTATTTTTGGAAAGGATAGTAATCTAAACCAGAGTTGTATTTGAACTTTGGTTTTTGCTTGCGTTTTGCTATGTCAATCATTTCCTGCACATCCTTGCGGTAGGCCGGTGGCAGCATTTCTTCATGTAGAGTGCATTGAAACTCTTCTGGTTCTTCAATCTTAAAAATACGGCGACGCACAATATCAATATCGCGTCCGAATTCCTCCATAAAATCACTGATTTTTGTTGGCGCAGAATCGAATGTAATAGTAAAATAAGAGCCTTCACGATGCACAACGCCGTGTTCACTGATCTTATGTGGCAATGCACGCGTTCCTAAATTTTCTAGATTCCTGATTATGCAGCCCTTGTCTAAAATTGATTCGGCAGTACGTTTCAGTACCGACACCAATTCAGGCTAAATAAGTGAATGAAAAATTAATGAAGTAATTATTAAAAAAAAATAACAACACTTTAATTTACTTACTCTGGACATTTGTCTCAGTACCATTGCTAACTCATAGGAAGGCATTATGAGAAGGTTTCATAAATTCTTCAAGAAAATAATAGATGAGCACTATGTTACGAAAGTGTACAAAGTGGAAAAGTAACCTCAAAAAAACAAATAAATAACAGTGCTGCCAAATCCCGAAATTTGCCCATATTAGATTAAGGGAAAAACAAGGTAATATAGAAGGAAGAGAACGGAAACGGAAACCACATGCAAATGCAAGGTTGCATTATTTGCTTATTTCATAATTGCTGAAGCCGTAAAAATGCCCTAGAACCAGATTGGGCTAGAATTTTATAATAGAACAAATGATATGTTTAGAAGTAAATATAAAGAAATGGCTTCGAAATGAAAAAATTTAATTCAGGTCATGAAACCGGTCACCTTTTATATTATAATATTTTAAGATTTCTGATTAATAGAAGAAAATATAGTAATTGCATAAAAATTGATATAGATGTTAAAAAGGAAGGTGGAGGCAAGCACCAATCGCAACCACTGATTAGCAGTGCGTATTATCATTTGGAACACCAGTGTTCAAGTCCTGGCCCAACCTATGATGTTGGTTAGAATGTTGGTTATGATAGAAATTTAGCATTTCTAATTGTGGTCGCCCTTTTGCAGGCCTTCTGAGTGTATTTTTGACATTAAATAAAGGCTCCTCATAAATAACCATCAGTCGTTCGGAGGCGGCTTAGGTCCCTCCATTTGTTGGAAAAACAAAAAAGCTCGCATCATAAATTGGAGAAGCTCAGCATTTCGTGTTACTATGTATCAGGGATATCCTGAGAGAAAATAAAAATGCATTAGCCCTTCGTAAGTGGCTTTGAAAAAAACTGTAAGACAGAGTGAGAGTGCAGATGCATACTTAAAATTTCAGGAGAGTGACACCATAGTACCCATCTTTGAGTCACCCTAACAATGAAAACTCAGACATTCATAACAACATTTACTTACATACATATATATGTTAGCAATATGTTTTAGTTATAATCGCATTTATCAAATCATCAATCACTAATTTCACGCTTTGGCTATAAAAGAAAATAAAAAGTTAATAAATATTTTGGTGTGGATGTTGGATAGATAACAAAACTTAATTTTATTTATCTCCCATTTTTGTCAAACATATTACTTACCATTTACTAATATTGAATAAAAGCGGTTTTATAGTAACTATTATGTAATAAATTTTATTTCATATTCAACATGAAGTAACATCAAATCAGTATACTCATACGTATCACTGTGTATGTAATTGTATATGATTCATAAATACTTTCTACTTTCTATATTTAACGGTAATTAAATGGGGAGAAGACACTTTTGTTTACGTTAGATTTGTGTTCACAGGTGGTTATTGTTTTATGATTTTTAACTTTAAAGGCCATACAATTCTAGTCAAAAGAGTCCTTTTTACGGTAAACAAATGTTAACTCGAAAAATAGGTAGGTACATCTTATTTGTGTAAAAGATTTGCATAGAGAATTTCTGTTACATTGATACATAGTATAATATAAATGCTTAATGGCACGAATGAGACATTTAGATGCTATGCACATACTTTTGTATAGATGTACATACATATGTACATACAACGTGCCTCTGGTACAATGTACTATTTTCTCTTCATTTATTTATGTAAGTGTGCCGATTTAGTGTAATTTAGAACAAAAAAGAATATATTATTAAATACATATAGTGTAATAATGTCATAAAATCAAGTGTTAATATAAAAATTGTATTGGAATTTTTTTTTAAGTTTTACAAAAGTACTTAGAATAAGTTCAATATATGTATATATTATAAATTTATAAGTTAAAAAATACATGGAATGCAAAATTTTGAATACATTTTTGTTTGTTGTCGTTTCTCGATTTTTTCAGTTATTTTGGACACTTATGGAATGCTTAAATATTAAAATGTCGCTGCACACTTGCACATCTTGCGTTGCTTTAGCTCAAATACAAATTGAAATGTGTTTCAGCCAAATGCACAACGGCCACATACCATTTACATGTGCCGAGTGTTGCCGAAATTGATGCCCGATTGGTTGGCACCTTTATTGGAGCCATACTGCAGTGAAATAACATTTTGACCGGCACGCAATTGTTCCTCGGAGAAATTACGTACATTTTTATCAGCCTCTTTGGGACCAATTGAGGGCTTGCCAAAGTTATGTGCCTGTAATTTTGAAATGAAGAGTTTTAAGTAAAATTTATGTTTGATTAGTTGTCTATGGTTTCCCAGCTAATTACCTTACGGCCGAGTGATTGCAGGCAAATGACAACAGAGTTCAAGTTTTGACGTTCCCACAGATCGACACTCTGGAAGGTTTCCTGTGTGGGCACACCGAAGTTTTTAGCACAGGCCAAGAAAGCTGGTGAGTTATTAGAAAAAGATATAAAAAAGTTTATTTAAATAAAAAATAAAATTTTTTTGATTTGGAATCTTTTATGACAATTTCTATGCAGAAACGATTTTATTAGGTTTGTTTATTGAACCGCTCTACGTTACGCCAGGTTACTCTAGTTCTAGTTGCGTGTCATGAAAACTTTTGTGCTCTTATTTGCCCTATTTTTTGGTTCAAGAGCAGAAATAGAGGGACTCAGAAAGCGAAAGCGGGCAAACTACATGAAAAGGATGTTCACGGACCACAATAAACAACTTAATTACAATTGACGATAAAAATAAAATAATAAATTTAATTAAGAAATATATGGTAAAGATCGTAATAATTTTCTATTTTATTTACAACAGAAAAGTCAATCATTCCATTTGAAAATTGTTGCCCGAAAAATGTTTCATGAGCTTTTCGCTCTAAGTTGCTCTAACTTACTCTATTGCTTTTGGCAGCTGCTCAAACTTGAGCTACTGTACTCTATTTCAGTCTCAATAAACAAACCTATTTTTTGCTTATAAAAAAATTTGAAATCCGTAAGCTCTACGCGACCATTTCAACTGATTTCTTCAGAAGAATTTAAAATATTTTTTTGAAAATCATTCGCTTGTCTAGTGGTCTTCACAGACGAAATATATGAGTACTGAATGAAAAATTAAAATTATTGGATTTAAAAGTACATTGAATATTTGGCATTTCATCGAAAAAAAAGTCAGTCACAATTTTTCAGTAATAAGCGATGTTCTACAATGTGTGCCGTCTTGAGTTGCAGCCATTCTAAACTGAAAAATTTGCCTGCACAGTGTAATTAAAAAATATATTAAGACTTAAAATAACCTTACTTAGAAACTCATGAAAACGGGACTTTGATTTGGCGAAAGCACCAAAATAATTTTCTGCAAGATATGTATGTATATATACAATATTTATATCAGCTTTGATTATTTGCTTTTTCAAACCAAATAAAAAGTGTGCAGATAAGCAAACAAATGAAACTAAGGGACTAACGAATGTGCATGTACGTTACAAACAACTTCACCACCACCATTGCTCACCGGAAATGTTCTCCATGCATTTGAAGGCCATTTTGCTTTCATTAACTTTCTTTATTGAGCCCGGTTGCAGTGAGTTGGCCAATTTACACAATAAAACACCATCCTTCAACACTTCAAAGAAATTATCCATATCACCAGCTGTGTTGATGGGTTCACCAGTTACCACTTTAATCCATTCCAAACATTCTTGGGCCAGCTCTTCGCTGTATTTTGAGTTGATCTAGAAGAGAAGAGAAAATAAGAAAACAAAAACACTTAGTAGGGATATTCTATAATTAATTAATATATATATATTTCTATAAATAGTGATAGCACATAATTAAATTTGTAAATTCTTATTAAGACACAAATCAAAATCCAACCTTATTTTGATACATTTTTTTTGTGTGTTCACAGAATATTTGACGGCGACGAACCAATGAATTCAAAGTGCAGATCACTTGTGAAGCATGGAAATTTCTAATTAATGCACTTGAGTATAATGTTAATTTAAAATAATTTTTTTCGCAACTTTTTCTGACGAGTATCAGGAATCTGTTCGGTACTATTGCTTGTATATAATATTATCATCGGTAATTTTGCTTATCAATTGATAAGATTGGCGATGTTGGTAGTTAATTTATCGTTTTACTTCACTTTTTATTTTTTATATACATACATACAAATGTATGAACGTACATACATGCATATAATTTTTTATTATTCCTTGTGCATAGCGCAGATGTATTATTGGGGCACTCCCAGAGGTATTGCATATACACCTGCATACTTTTATCTTTATATACTCGTACAATGTACATTTCCATTATATGAAAATGTATTAAACTTTTCCTTTTAAAAATACCCTAAAAACGGTATAATCAGCACGATAGATCAATTCAAATTTGATTGAAATCTTTTTCGGTCAATGAAATAATTCTTGAACACTCTAAAAAATGTTAAAAAAAATATATACACATATGTATGTACATAAATGTAATAATTTGCCAGTTATGGTCTGGGGGCTTAGTAGTCAATTATTTTTTTTCATACTTTGCAAACTCAAGCATTTCACTCTATTTTTTGCATACTTTTTTCACTAAGTGATTTGTGTCGACTATACCTTTTTCGGCATTCGATATTGGAACATACATACATACGTACATTTTATATACTAACAAAAAGTCAACCCGTATATGGTAAACGACCGCAACATAATTCCAGCTTGTAAAACATGCTGACATTGCCAAGTAGCTTTGTATGTGCTCGAGGTCTAGAATAAGTCATATACATGTGTATGTATGTAGAATACTTAGTGCTAGGTATTTAATGGAAGCCAATGAAAATATCAAAAAAAAAATACATTTTGTACGCGAAAAAATTAGTTCGATCAACGGGAAATCAATTCATTTTGAAACAAATATAATTTGTTATGAGAAATATTGATTTTAAAGCTACTCTTTAGTTTAGATTAGGTTACGTTCTACTGGCTGGCTGACACGTCATACTTAGAACTGCTGGCCCTTGGTAATGCCAAAAGGAGAGAGGTTCAGTTTAGACCGAGTTGACGTAATCGTCCTATGTGACTATATGTCAACGCTTCATGCGAAGTTTAAGAGAGCATTGATATATAATTTTTATACTTTGTCTAATACTTTGAACTGCTCCTAACTCCTAGCTCCTAGCTCCTAGATAAGGCCGAACAACGCCCCCGCTCATGTCTTCTTCCGTGCACTTTCTGCATATGCCATATGCCTAGCAATATACACCAGAGCACCATAAAGAAAGATTGCCTTGGTTTCCGCTGTGTAACGCCAATGCATAGGACCAGGTGATAGGCCCCATGTAGATTCCACCATGATTTTACATGATCATGGAGTTGGCCTGTTTCACCCTCTCTTCCACACAGAGTTTCCACTCTTAAGTACTAGAAATCGACGGGAGGTGCCATGCCGGGATCTTGTACCTCCTCGGTGTTTGACCGTCCGTCACGTCCACAGATTTTAGAAAAGGTAAATATGATTCAAAAATTCTTTTGAGTGTATTATTTTTAACTCTTTGTTTAATCATAAATATATTATATATATATATAATACATATTATGTGTATGTATTATATATATATTTATATATTTGTACATACGTGTATATATATGAAAACACTATTATTAGCAAGTGAGGTCTGCTCTCTTTCGCTGAATGCCCTTATCTATACCAAGAACAGCCGAATAATATTACGGGTAGTCATTTAGACAAAAAGGGTGCTATTTTTTTAGACATTTAGCCAAAAGTCAGCTTCATTGCTGAACAAAATTTTCTTGTAAAATAGTTTTGGGTCAAATCACCGCGCGTGCGACGTGCTTGATTTGATGGTCATTCGGCTTCAATTATCGCACGAGTTGGATGCCGTAAGCCCGAAAGCCAAGTTCCTTCTGCAAAGTTTTTCGTAAAGTGAATAGTCACAGCTACAATTGTTGCACGCGATGGCTTATCATTATTATGGAACTCATGAGATACTCTGCTCTACAGCGGCAATAACGTCTTCGGTGCGTACTGTAGGGTGTCTCTAAAGATGCACATTATCCACTAGAGTAAACGTGGCGCGAAACCGATCTGTGGTTGCTCTAATTACCGGCTCTGCTGGGGGAGTATTTTGATCGGATATTGGGAGCAGAGTGCGATGCGTCGCGTGAGGCGAAACTTTATATTTGTAATAAATTTGAGTGTTTGTAGGTCACGTTGTTCCGGAGTAAGTCTATTCATTGTTAAATGACAATCAAACTGCGTATAAATCAAGTAATAGCTGTCGAAAAAAGACCAAAAACGAAAAAAGTATTGCCTTATTGACAAACACCCGTCTTAGAAACACTCTTTATAAAAGTGCAATAGAAAAAAAGAGTTTATTATCGCTATTCCTTCCAGTCAAAAAATAAAATTCACAAATTTTTGCAACAAGAAAAATTTCTTTTTTTTTTTAAATAATTCAAATATCAAAAAAAAGTTGTTATCAATAAAATTGATTATTACCAATAGCACTTCAAATACTGAGTCTGCAAATGAAACGACATTCGCACACGTCAGTCACTCATATTAAAGTCATAGGCTTTATTAAGCCAAATGATCTCATTGTTCTTATAAAAAAAAAAACAGTAAACACAAGTAAGTACTTAAACGTTGAAATGTACAAATAAACAATTATTTCGAGTAAGCAAGTTGTTATCGTTAAAAAATAGAAATAAAAGGGAAGAATACAATAACAATTGAATCAGTTACCTATTTAAAAGTGTATGTATATAAGTAAAAACTTGTTGTTTTTAAAAATGCATACATATGTACATATGTGCGTGTGTACGTGTTTAGGTAAGAATGCGTTCCTGTAGCTTATCAATACACACATAACATACACATGCACATATATAACGAAACATGTTTTTAATCAGCTTTTTATATCTCTACGAGGTTATTGACTAAACGACCGAGATTTATTACCAAAAGATAAGGAGGAAGAGAAAGTTGCCATTCGACTAGACAATTTGTCAGTTAGTGAATTTACCTACGCACACTCGGCATAGATAAAAGTTAAGCAATTTAAATCGTTCTGAAACTATTAGAAAAACTATTAGAACAGCGTTGTGCAATTAAATAGAAACAAACAATTTTTTAATGCTTAAATCATCATAAAATGATCTGATTAAATTTGATTAATTAGTTGGCGATATAAGTTGTATCATACCTCGGGTACAGTCTACTCGTAGTAGATAAATTTTCAAATAAACCTTGAAATCACTATCAACATATTTGAAGAACTTTTGTTGTTGTTGTATGTTTGTTGAACATAATAATAAAAGGAATCGTTGAGGCATCCTTGAGCTATCAAATATTTAAAAAAAAATTAACAAAGGAAAAAATGGGTATCAGCGTCAACTAGCATTTGTTTCGGTCAACAAGGTCGATGCAGAAAATATATGATTTGTTTTTTTTTTTTTTTTTTATAGAAAATAATTCATAAATACATCCATATTTCCCTCGATTTCTAGTTCCCAAGAAGAGTTTTGCTTAGGGAAAGTCACCATTACTTATTTGACTCTTGGCTGAGTTCCTTTCCCAATTTATGAATTCAACCCAGTCTTCTCCAATGGATACCTTCATATCCACCAGAAGAAAACGTGTTTCCTGTGATAATTTAGGTATAAGCTCAACTATGTACTAAATTTCATGTAAATTGAATCACAAATAAGATTTTTTCAGATGAATCGGTCCCAGGTCTACTTTCCGTGAAAAAGTGGTATTTATTTCAATTTGAGCAAATGCAACCGATGTACCTTATTTTCTTTATAACGAACTATAAAACGATTTTTTTTTAATATTCCCATTCCCCAGTTAAGTTCGTGACAATCTAAGCAAAAAGCGACTAAGTACCAAAGTACAAGTAAATCGTTTTTTTTTCGGCTATGTCGGCGCAGATTCGCTTCCTTTAAGAAAAAGCACTCTTTATATTAATTTCGGCAGAGAGGTACCTGTGTACACATTTTCAAGTAAATCGAGCAATAAATAAGATATTTCCAAATTTTATCTTTCTGTCAAATGGCAACTCTTTCAAAAATATCCAAACTTTATAGCAACACCAAAAATTTTCTAATTGTTGTCGCAACTTGGTAGAGAATGCCAACCGTACCTAGTATATTTCTGACATGAAATAAAAAACGTCCTCATCAAAATCCTTCAGCGATTCGGAGGCGGCTTTGAATAAAGTGCAGCGCCTCCGTCTGTTGGAAATACGTTACTGCAACGAATATAATGTCATGAAGTAATCATAAGCCAGGCTCGATAAAGAAACTGGAACATGCCATAATAAGCAAAAAATTATAATGGTTTCGAATTCGCGAAGCAAAAAATAAAAATTAAAATAAAAATAAGAAAAATATAAATTAAGTAAAAAAATAAAATAGAAAAAAAAAAAAAAGTATGAAATAATATTCATTCTATTATTATTCATTAAATTAGCCAAAGCCTGGTATACGATTGAGCTTTAGAAATAACCTTTGCATAGTTAATGGCGACAAAGAAAGATGATTATATAGAAGTATATAGCACATAGCAGCGGTGGATATTTGTAAGCACATTTGTTCATATGTAAAAGTACATATATGTACGTGGGGTAAAATTGCGTGAATAGAATTGGTGGCGCGCATGTCGTTGTACGTAAACAATAACTTTTGTCTCTGATTGACATATAATTAAT